TCTGGTTAAGAGCTTTGCTGACAATATCACAAAAGTGAAACCTAACAAGGTACTGAAATCCGGGATCAACGTCGAATTCCCATGTCACATTGAAATTGCTGGTGGAATCATTCACCGAGTTCATCCTGGTGCAGGTACCATAGACCGAACCATCAACATACTTAACAGCTCTGATATTTGATACACTTAAGGCAAGATTCTTTCCTACAAGGAAACGCTGGTCAGGCACCCATGTTCGCCAAAGAGTATCATTCTTGAAGGAGACAGTAGATCCCCCATATTCACCCGAGCTACCGTCTCTAGTGCCTGCAACGTTAGCCCTTGGAATCCCACCGAAGATTGAACGGAGCGGTGTCCAGCATGAGCTGATCAGCGACCGAAACAATTTCCAAGGCATTTACAAAAGCAAATGAATTCTGTGAAGGGCTGAATGTGATGGCAAGGCTATTGGAGAGGTTACATTAACAGAAAATTCTTTGACCATAAGAGATTGAACACTGAAACTACTGAGAAGAACATGGTTGTCCGTCGAAACATCGAAATTCGCCATACTCGTATTGTAACTAGCATGAACAAATGGATAGAAATAGAGGCGAATCCAGTGTCTTCCACGCCGGCTGATTGAAAATGTGTACTTGGAAACACCAGTAAAGATTCTCGCCGTTTGATAGAGCGACGAATCATCGTCAGAGGTGACAGATTTTGAAGTGTTTCCAAGAACAGTCTCAGGGGAAGAAAGGAGCTTTGAGGCTAACTTATCAGGCATGAAAACTCGATCTCCCACATTAGTATTAGTAGGTGATTCACAATCAATAAGGTAATTGTCTGCAGGTGTAAACCCCCTAGCAAACAATGCTAAACACGAGATTGAATAAACCCAGAACAGAACTTCAAATACTTTACAACCCATTTTAAAAATCCAGAAATTAAATTCAGGGTTCTTAGAGAAACAACTAGAGATTAATAGCAAAGCATAACACAAATTAGGAACCAATTAAAGGAACTGGATCAAAAAAAAAAACATCAAGAAAACTGAATCGAGAAAGAAAAAAATGGAGCCTTTGAACTCCAAGAGAGAAATGCAGCCGAGAGGAGGCTCCCGAATGAAAAAGAAAATATTTTAAGCAACTATGTTGGAAGCTGACAGAGTTCCAATTGGAGATAAAAGTTCCAATGTCGGATAAAAGTTATTTTTTTCTGTTAAATGGAAATAAATATAATGAATATAAAGAGGAGTTCTTTTTGGTCAACAGATAAGGGCTACCTTAAAGCTTGAAAATTTACGGAGAGTGGTTGCATTTTGTTCTTGGCCCTAATCGGATTATCTCAGGAAAGACTGGTTAATATAAGGTTAATATACGGTATTACCGGATACATTATAATATATTTAATAAATTCGGTTTAGCGCTACCAGAAGAAATGACCATCCAGCTCAGTTGGTAGAGCACAAGATTTTTAACTTTGAGGTCGTGGGATCGAGTCTCATGGAGGAAATTTTATAATTTGGAGGTCTCCTACGGAAACTGCTCTCAACCTAGTGTTGGGAGCAACCTACTATCTTACCTCCCCCTTACCTCATTACATATGGGAACAAGGGACAACCATGGTTTAGCGCTACCGGAAATGTTGAGTAATAATAATGTAGTAGGTCTAAATCATGAAGAAATATTAAAAAATTTGGCAACCGACAAACTTAGCTTGTCGGTTTGTGTCGACACAAATGAAAAATGTATCGCTCCATAGCAATATTACAGGTAAAAATATGACAAAATCGGTCTCAAAATGACAAAACCGGTAAAACGTTACCAGATATGTTGAAAGTGTCGATAATTTAATATAAGTATTGACACTTTCTGAATTTAAAAGAGAAGAAGTTATAGCGCCTAAAAGTGTCGACACTTTATGAAAATGTATCGATCTATAACAATATAACAGCTAAAAATATGACAAACCCGATCTCAAAATGACAAAACAGGTAAATAACTATCGGATATATTGAAAGTGCCGATACTTTAATATAAGTATCGACACTTTTGGAATTTAAAAGAGAAGAAGTTATAGCGCCTAAAAAGTGTCGATACTTTAAAAAAATGTATCGATCTATAACAATATAATAGGTAAAAATATGATAAAACCGGTCTCAAAATGACAAAACCGGTAAAATGCTACCGGATATATTGAAAGCGTCGATAATTTAATATAAGTATCGACACTTTCTGAATTTAAAAGAGAATAAGTTATAGCGCCTAAAAAGTGTCGACACTTTGTGAACATGTATCGATCCATAACAATATAACAACTAAAAATATGACAAAACCGGTCTCAAAATGACAAAACAGGTAAATAACTACCGGATATGTTGAAAGTGTCAATACTTTAATATAAGTATCAACACTTTAAGAATTTAAAAAAGAAGAAGTTATAGCGCCTATAAAGTGTCGATACTTTAAAAAATATATCGGTCCATAACAATATAACAAGTAAAAATATGACAAAATCGGTCTCAAAATGACAAAACCGGTAAAACGTTACTGGATATGTTGAAAGTGTCGATAATTTAATATAAGTATCGACACTTTCTGAATTTAAAAGAGAAGAAGTTATAGCGCCTAAAAAGTGTCGACACTTTATGAAAATGTATCGATCGATAACAATATAACAGCTAACAATATAAGAAAATAGGTCAACATAAAGTATCGACACTTTTTAAATTTGTGTCGATACACTTGTCCAGACGAGGTGTACGCAAAAAATGTCGATACATTTATAAAAAGTATCGATCCCAATACAATGAAACCAATAATTATTAACAGGTTACAATGTAACCAGTAAAAATATATCGGTTAATTAGTAAATATGTCTACATTATGTATCGACACTCTTTAAATATGTGTCGATACTTTTTTCCCAAAATGAAAGCACAAACAGGTGCACGCATAAAGTGTCGATACATTTAAAATTGTATCGATCCTAAAAACATCGAAACCGATAATTATAATGTAATAGGTCAATTTACAATGTATCTGGTTGAAATTTACCGGTTTTATAAGAAAATATGTCAATATAAGCGCTACCTAATATGTTATTGTACTTGATAATATTCTGGTTAAATGCCTATTTTATTATATAAGCGCTATCTATTACATTATATAAACGCTACCTAATATGTTATTATGCTTGATAATATTTCCGGTTAAATGATATAATATAATCGGTCTAAATTTTAACCGGTCACACTATTTTTTAACCGTTTTTTAGGCGTCGTACAACAGAAGTACCCGGCTCTAACGGTGGTGGGTAAAATAAAGTTTTAAACTTTCTGGTTAGTTGGGTTTCTGAAAGGGTGACTAGGAAAGGAAATGCCTTCCACTTTGGTTGATCGTTGATATCAATAAATTTTAGGGTGTGTTTGGTTCACGAAATATAAGATTACAGTGAGAATAGGATTACCGGTTGGAATAAGATTACTGAGAATGTTGTATTTTGTGTTTGGTTCGTTTAGCAGGAATGTAAGATTACAGTGTTTGGTTAAAGGAATAAAAGATGATTGAAATATATATTTTACCAAATTGTCATTATTATATATTTGTTTTTGAACAAGTTGAATTCTACTATAATATTACTATAATTAATTTATATATTTTCTTTAAAAAAATTAAATTCATAAAATTTATATAATTTTTTTTTACAAAATTGAAAAGATAAATATGTTTAATGAAAGGGTAAAATTTTATTTTAACCCCTGAACTTCATATAAAATTCTAATTATGGATTTTTTTTGTAAATCTAAAATAGTTTAAGGATATATTTGTAATTTAACATTCATAGAATTTTTATTATTCAACGACAGAATAAAGATATTTTTGGAAAAAATATTAAGAACATTTTAGTCCAAAACGTCGATAATCCAACAATACCTAAGGGAAGTGGATAATCACATTTCCGGTAATATACCCACAAAATACCATTATTGGGAATAAAAGATTACCGATGAATAGGATTACTGGCCAACCAAACGAGGGAATGACATTTCATTCCCCCGGTAATCCCAAATGACTCCAACCAAACGCCCCCTTAGTGTAATATCATATAGATTGACGTGACACCTTAAATTTAATTCGAAATAACGAATAAACAAAAAAGTATCATATTATATTGTTTATATCAATTATATATTTAACTTTTTTCAATTTTCAACAATTTTCCATCTCTTTATCATTTCAAATCGACCAACAAACAGTTAGTTTAGTGGTATAAGACACTAAATTCCCTAAGTAAGTTCATGGGTTCAAATCCTAGCGATTGCGAATGAAGTAAACTAGATTGTGATGATATCCCTTGCCTATGCAAATGAAGTAATCTGGATTGAAATGGTCACCCTTGCCTCTGCAGTTCCCGATATGAAATTAGTCGATCAATATATTAAATATCGATAATTATACTAAAAAATTAATAAAGAGAAAATTTTCTTCCCTATAAAAGGAAGTATCTCCTCTTAATTTTTCATATAAAATATATATATTGTATCAAATAATTTACTATTTTATAAATGAATTTCTAATTCCATAAAAATTTAAGGTGGGCACATACCAGCCATGACATAAGTGTACATCTGTCACTGCATATCAATACATATATAATTTTTGAAACTTGATATAAAATTAAAGCTAAGTTTAAGATATTCATTTTTCTGATGAATCAAAGATTTTTTTGGCAACAAATGATATAAGGGATGCAAAAGAAAGATATAGATCGAAATTATCAGCAAATGGCATATGTATTTTGGCGAATGTGGCTTAAAACAGGTAAAATAAAATAAGAAAGACAAAAAATATAAGTGACTACCTTGGTAGTTTACCCTTAAAATTAATATGATGGGCTTTTGAGGCTCAAATTATTTGAATTGGGCAAATTGGCCATGGTAAAACATTATTTTATTCGTCTTAAACATATCATCAAAACGACAGCGTATTTTATCTCTCCCTGCTCACCCCTCTCTTTTTTGCTTCCTTTTCACTCATTCGATTCAGGGCAAACTCGGATAAACTGGACCCAAGCAAAAACGCAACAACTCTCGCTTTTTGACTCAGCTGTCCGAAATTTTGAGGAAAATTAAAGATCTCTCTCGCTCGTTGGTCTACCTTTCAGGTTCATTTCACTATTTACTGGGATTCGATCTCGACTTGTCGGATTTCGTTCTCCGATTGTACTAATTTTTTCCCCGAAATTCGATCTTATGTTTTTTCTTGCATGTATTGTTTAATGATTTTATTAGGATAGTGGACTCTATGTTCTATGTTTCTGTTTGGGTACTGAGAAACCGTGGAAAATGTGGGGAGACGGTCGATTAGCTCAACTGAACTGACCTGAATAGTAGTGTCTTTTTCCCATTCATTTCTTTTATAATTATTGAAAACTTAGTTCATGGAAACGAAATTTATAGCCCCACAGAGAATCTTAGGTATATAGTTTCCTTTCCCTTTCTCCTCATGTCCTCTTTAATGAAATACGGAAGATTAGTTTGTTTAAGATGATACTGAATCAGTTACACTGATTTTTTTCTGTTTTTTTTTCCTCTCATCTTTTAGCCTAAAATCTTTTGCATTATTATGGCTAGTGTGAATTTGGTTTTGTTTTATTGATGTTATTTGGATGGTTTGTCAAGGGATTGTAATCTTTTCTTTGCAAAATTTCCTTAAGTTGAATACTGTGAAATGGTTTCAAGGCCAATTCCATAGGGTTTTCCCCCGCATTTAATTTGAGAAATTACGGTGTGCAATCATTGATTGGAAGTGGAAAGTGGGACGTGGAAAAAGATAGTGGCATGTAGCGAAATGCGATGTTGATAAGCTTAGGTGGACTGTTGGACATCATTTCTTGGTGCCATTTATTGGAAGCGACTGGAAATAAGTTTAGTTTATTGTTGTTCAACATGTAAAGTATTTTGGGTCTGTTTTACTAGTAAATTTGGGTTTGGTTCAGCATCTTCTGAATGTACACATGTAACCTCCTTGTCTTTATGGGGTTAGCTTCTCACAATTATTTTGTCTTTTTCAGGCTATACATACTGTAGAACCTTCTCAAATCTGGTTTGCTTCTCAACGAGGAATGGTTCTTTGCATGACCTGTTGAAACTTATAAAATGTCGGGGTTACTAAATGTATTATTACTTAAACTGAAAACAATTTATTTGGAGTTGCAATATTTTTTGAACATCAATCTTGTTTTCGGACTTCCCTTTTTTAGTTTATCTAAATGAAGTATGTATCTTCTATAGGTCCATTTAGTTGTTTTAGCAGTTGATAACCTGATCTATATTTTCGTGGTTTGCAGACGCAACATATTGGATTCTGTTGCCTCTATTTTTGTGCATATGTGTATCTGCTTGCCCATATCAATATGTGGCATACTGGTTTTAGGAACCTAGAGTACACATGTATTAATTATAGGTCAATGATGCTCCACTAAATGTCAATTGGTTCAAAATATTTGTAATTACAGGTCATTAATGATGGAATGTTTGGAAATATTCTTCCTTTTATCGTCTACGTTCTTTCTAATTGAAACTTAAAATCAAATTTGGATGCATTACATGATTCATGGCTGTTGTCCGTATTCTTTTCCTGTTTGATTAATGTTTTTATTTTTGTATTACATGTCTTTCTATTAACTGGAAATTATAATGTGTATCTGGTTGCAGTCTTCTGTCAACGGATCAGCATCAAATCTTCCAGACAGTAGTGGACGCTCTTTTGCAACATCTTTCTCTGGTCAGTCTGGTGCAGCCTCTCCTGTTTTCCATCACGCTGGTGGGTAGATTTTACTAGATTTCCGCACAACTACGTTGTTCGAAACTCATGCAATTGTATTGCTTGTTTTTCAGGCAATATTCAGGGCTTGCATAATATTCTTGGTAGCTTTAATGTTCCCAACATGCCTGGTACACTCGCATCAAGAAACTCAGCATTAAGTAATGTTCCAACTGTTGGGGTCCAACAACCTACTGGGAGCCTATCTGGTGGAAGATTTGCATCAAATAATCTTCCTGTTGCTCTTTCTCAGGTGCTTATAATATTCCCATCATACTGTGATTTGAATTTCTATGATTGCTGCAGAGGGAGTTATTTATGTGTCCTTCACCCTTCATGCATGTCTTTGGGACAAAAACAAATAAAAATGATAATTAATAGGGAGAAATAAAATCTTACATTCTTGTGACAAGTACTGCATTTTCTTATGGATGCCATTTTACAGTTATCTCATGGCAGCTCCCATGGACATTCAGGAGTAACAAATAGAGGAGGTATTAGTGTTGTAGGAAATCTTGGATTTAGTAGTAACACAAATGGAGTTGGCGGTTCTATACCTGGGCTTCTCCCTTCCTCTGCTGCAATTGGTAACCGCAATGCTGCCCCAGGATTGGGAGTATCCCCAATTTTGGGAAATGCAGGTACTAGGATTACGAGTTCTTTAGGAAACATGGTTGGTGGGGGCAACATTGGGAGGAGTATAAGCTCTGCTGGTGGATTATCTGTACCTGGTCTTGCATCTCGTCTGAATTTAAGTGCCAATAGTGGATCTGGAAGTTTAAGTGTGCAGGGACAGAATCGATTGATGAGTGGTGTGCTTCCTCAGGGTATGTTACCTTGAACGATCACCCCTAGATTTTGCTGTTTGCTAGCTGTTTGTCGCCCTTGGGTACAAATGAATATGATGACCAGAGGTTTTGGTTAATTTACAACCTCTCGTGCTCTTTTTAGTTTTTACTGGTCATTTCCAATTATTAGATTTAGTTTGATTCCTGTTCTTTGTTGATCCTGAATACATGTTTTATATTTACGGAATGTTAACTTTTATACGATAGAATATGCATTTTGTAGATTTACTAATTTAGTTGTAGTTGTTCACATGAGTGACATTTTCTATATTCAGGATCTCAGATGATTTCAATGTTAGGCAATTCTTATCCTACTGCTGGGGGTCCTCTTTCCCAGAGCCATGTCCAAGCTGTGAACAACCTTAGCTCCATGGGAATGTTGAATGATGTGAACACAAATGACAATTCTCCCTTTGACATAAATAATGATTTCCCTCAGCTGACAAGTCGCCCTAATTCTGCTGGAGGGCCTCAAGGACAATTGGGTAACAGAAGGAAGAGACTTTCTGATTCTTCGTTTGTCTTTTTTTTCTTCTTCTGCTAAAGTTCTAATATTTCAAGTTAAACTTGCAGGTTCATTGCGAAAACAAGGTCTTAGTCCCATTGTTCAACAAAACCAAGAGTTTAGCATTCAAAATGAAGATTTCCCTGCTTTACCAGGATTTAAAGGTGCACAAATATTCTTTGATTTGGTTTTGATTTAATGCATATTACTTTCTGGTTAACAAAAATAAATGCATTTCTTTCACTTTTTAAATCCAGCTTTAAGTTATATCCTTACATAACTTGATCTTCCTAGTTTCTTGTGTATTTTGTCTCTGAAATTTATGCACGGTTCTTTGCATTTAATATATTCATTCTTATGATGCTGTTTTTTTTAAACCATGAATTATGATCTTGACCATATTATTAGATATTGTACAGGTGGTAATGGTGATTATGCAATGGATATGCATCAGAAAGAACAACTTCATGACAATACCATGTCGATGATGCAATCTCAACACTTTTCTGTGAGTTACATTTACAAAATTGAGGATTTATGGTTTATTTTGTTCTTCATATGCTCTATGTACTGCAAGTTATTTATTTCCTTATCTTTCTCTAGAAAAAGTATGGTTTGTCATCTTCATGATGTATGCATTTTGAGACTTTATCTAATACTTGTGTGCAATTTGCTTAGATGGGGAGATCTGCAGGATTTAACTTGGGTGGATCCTATTCATCCCATCGCCCACAGCAGCAACAGCAACATGCTCCATCGGCCAGTAGTAGTGTCACCTCCTTTTCATCTGTAAACAACCAAGATCTTCTCCATTTGCATGGCTCAGATATTTTCCCATCTTCACATTCGAGCTACCACTCACAGGTATGGTAATCTGGTGCTCTAAATGGTTGCATGCAAATGTAACCAAGTGGTTATCATGAGGTAGAAGAATATATTTAGATATCTATGGATTGTATCTCTCTCTAATGGTACTTGGGAGAAGAGATCCATTACTAATTTGAAAATCCATATTTTAGTGTGTTTTAGCATCTGTATTGAATTGAGATTCACTGTTGGTCAAACTGGAAGAATGTAAAATTTGCCCCTTCCTTTTTTTCTTATAACAGCATGTGAAAAGAAGTATAGATTGAAAGTTGAAGAAATTGGTTTGACTTCCTTAGGATGGACATATTTCATTCATTTGATTTGTGCATAAATGTTTTATTATTCGATAGATGGTAGAATGACTTTTAACATTTTCTTTCATCTTTCTTTCAGACCAGTGGGCCACCCGGGATTGGGCTACGAACTCTAAATTCATCAAATACGGTTTCTGGTATGGGTTATGACCAACTCATCCATCAATATCAGCAACACCAAAACCAGTCGCAGTTTCGTCTTCCACAGATGTCAGTTTTGAATCAGTCATTTAGGGAACCCGGCCTGAAATCAATGCAGGCTACGCAGTCTAATCCCGACCCATTTGGGTTACTTGGTTTGCTAAGTGTAATAAAGATGACTGATCCTGATCTGACTTCTCTTGCTCTTGGAATTGATCTGACAACACTTGGGTTAAATTTGAATTCATCGGAAAATCTTCACAAGACTTTTGGTTCTCCATGGTCTGATGAACCAGCTAAGGGTGACCCAGAGTTCACTGTGCCACAATGTTATTATGCTAAGCAGCCACCCGCTTTACATGTAAGCTTTTTTTTTTGTATTTTGGTTACTCCTTAATGCAATTGTCTCAATTAGTGTATTGCCTCTATTTCCGAACTCTGATTTCCTTCTATGCATGCAGCAAGGTTATTTTTCAAAGTTCACAGTGGACACATTGTTCTATATATTTTACAGGTGTTTATTTTAACATTAGTTGCGTCTCTATTGTTTAATTTAAGATTGTATTTTAGTTATCTGAACTCTGTTTCTTGTACAGCATGCCAAAAGAGGAAGCTCAGTTATATGCTGCACATGAACTGTAAGCTCTCAACTGAACGAATTGTGGGGGAATCTTTATGCATTTTCTTTTCTGCAGCCCTCATTTTAACACACCTCTTATTGGCAGTTATAATAGAGGCTGGTTTTACCACAAGGAGCACCGAATGTGGTTCATAAGGGTTCCCAATGTTGAGCCACTAGTGAAGACAACCACATATGAGAGGGGTTCTTACCACTGTTTCGATCCGAAATCATTTGAAACAATCCGCAAGGTCGGAACTACAATATTCATAATTCATTACAATGCTGCTTTTTTGTTTTTTTTACTGTTATTCATGAGTCTAGTTGCTGAATGCTGACTATAAATTTTAACTGCAGGATAATTTTGTTGTCCATTATGAGTATGTGGAAAAGAGACCAGCTTTACCCCAACATTAACAAGGTTGCTTTTTTTCCTTCTCATAAAGCTGAAGTATGTATTTTGTAACTCATCCATTAGGACATCAGTTTTCAGCATTTAGCGAATTTGTTTATGTGATTCGATTGTGATGACCGGTTGTTTGACCCTTCTTATGTTAAAGGTATATGTAATGAATAAAATTCAAAATAAAAGTAATTGAAGAGAATTTAGATAAAGTAGTTGCAGGTGATACTGATTTTACGATGATGCCTCTACAAATTTGTTGCATGGTAATAGTATCATTAATGCCATTCTAGTAAAGACTAGTCATTCTATAAGAATGTGGATGGAGTTATTAAGTCTTAAATTATATATATATAAATAAATAATATTTCAAATACAGTATGACCGAAACATAAACGCAAATTATTTAGTTACTCTTGGATTCTATAAGAATGTGGGATTTAAGAACTATTTGTAGGCACAGCCTGTTTAAAGCTTTTTACCTTTGTAAGTATCATTTATTTATTGTTAGTTTATGTATCATGTGTAAATTGTGTGGATTTAATTCATATTCTATAATTTGATCGGTTTAAGTTTCAGAATATAATGTTAATTATTTGAGTCGAAACATAAATTTGAAAATTTGAATAGTACGAGGATAAAAAACTAATAAAATTGAATATAAGAACTAGTTTTACAATTTACACAATGCAAAAATAACATTTAGCTTATTTTGAATGATGTAGTTTCAATTTTAATAGGGTAATTCACACAAATGGTCACTAATGTTTGTAAGTTTTTGTTTTCATCACTGATGTTTTAAAAGTCACAAATCGGTCAATAATGTTATCAGTTGTTACAAATTGGTCACTCCGCATTAACATCCATCAACAGGTGTAATAGAAATCACATGTGAACTTTTATATGCTTACATGTATCGTCGACCGTCACGGTGGAGAATCATTGAAATCCCTTTGACCAACTCTTTAACTAATATTATAATAAAATCTCAGAAATAATAATTATTTAATTAATATATAATTAATAAATCAATTAAAAAGATAAAATGAAGGGTTTAATAAAACGTTCAGTCTCAACCTTATTTTTTAAGAAAAATCTAAACTTTAAACCTTTTCTTCTTCTATTCCTTTTAGAACGAATCAGTTTGAGAGAAAAAAAATTTAAGGTTCGAGGGGAAAAAAGGGAATTGTGAGGGGAAAAAAAGAGAACTCAAGAAATTTTATGGTCCAAGTGGTTAAGAGAAACGAATAATACTTGAGTTTTAAGAGAAAAACTTACGGTTTAAAGATGGTACTTACATTGAGGCTACAACAAAAGGGAGACAATGGTATGTTTTACGGTAAGTTTCTTTTGAGTTTGAGAGAAAAAGTCAAACCTACGTTTTGACAGAGAATTGATTGAGTTTTCTTTGGTTCATGTTTTCAATTCTTTTTCTCGATTTTTTCATATTTATGTGTTGATTCAACATATGACGGTGGGGTTTTCTTATGAGTTTTCAGTTTTCTTTCATTTTATTCTATGGGTTTTTATTTTTTAAACATCTGTGTTGATTCATTCTGTTCTGTATGCTTTATGTTTAAGGTCACTCATGTATGCTTTTTATTTGTTATGTATGCTTTTTATTTAAGTTTACTCAAAATATTTTAAACTTACTCGGGCATGATTTTAGAACGTTATGTATGCTTTCTGTTTGAGAGAAAACCTTATTCATGTAAGCTTTTAGAAATAAGAACCTTATATTATGATGACTCATGGATGCTCTGTTAACAAAATGAATGGTCTCATGCACGCTGTTAAGTTATGATAAGTATATGTGATATGATATTATTAGTGTTTATATGTGTGATATGTTGACTTTATGAGTGATATGTTGACTTTACGATAATTATACAAGATATGTGTATATGTGTGATGTGTTTGTATCTAAAAAATATTATGAATGTTGTACTGTTGTGAACCATCCAGTTTGATAAAATATTCTGAAAGTTAAATGTTGTATTATTGTGGATCTTACTTGTTTGTATGCTGAACATTGTATTGTTGTGGACCATCAAATGTGATAAAATATTCTAAATATTATAATCTTGTGGGCAATACATATTTGAAAAATAAAGGCTAATGTTGTGTTGTTGTGAACCACCTATATTTGATAAACTACGTTGAATGTTCAATTTAAAACCTACAATTTGAACACTTTAGATTAATATTATTTTTAAATTAAACATAAAATTTAAAACAACTAATTAAAACTCTTTATATTTAAATTCTATAGATTGAAACTTAAACACTTTTTCCTAACATTTAAGCTTAAACACTTTTTTTAACATTGAAACTTAAATACTTTAAAATTCCACTAACTCATTAAACAAAATATTGAAATAGTAAGATTTAAGTATGATAGTTTTAAATTTAACATAAACTAATTAAATTCAAAAATCTTATTACAGGTCTTAAAGACGAAAAATTTACTGTTGTGTGTCATTATGATGGAATCTTTTGTTCATTCACCCTATGTGATTGTGACACAATTTATTTGCTTGACTTTTGTGAAATGATGGACAAAATATTTGTCCCTAGTCCGCTAGAATTATTTTAGGTAGTGCCAAGTGCAAAATTAACTGAATCTTCTATTATGCCTTTATCAAATGACAATGATGAAATGACAATGGAACATAGTTTAACTAGAAATAGATATATTCATATCTATGCACAAGGTAAGGGTATTGCTGAAAGTTGTAGTGTTGAAAGTGGTGGTTCAGAATGTGATAGGGTTGAAAGTGGTAATATTGAAATTGATGTTGCTGAAAGTGGTGTAGAATGTGGTAAGACTTAAAGGGGTAGTGTTGAAAGGGACATTAAAGAAGACAAGTCTGGTAGTGAAGAAGATAGAGGGGCAGAAGTGTTGAAAACATTTTTGTGTTTCGATATAACAAATTAAGATTAAATGAATTTTAAGATTTTACAAATGATTTTCTAGGTATATTCGATTTAATTAATCGAATATCAAATTATTACTCAAAGTCTTTCAAGTTCAAATTCAAACCTTACTAAATGTGTAAAATTGTGTTTTATACTTAAACTATTTTTGAAACAATTTTCACAAAGTATTTTGAACCAAAATCAAGCCTAAAATCAATTTTTCAAAGTGATGCACCGATGCACCAATCCATGCATCAATGAACCAATTATTTTTTCAAACATCGAATGCATTTTATGCATCGATGCACATACCATGCATCGATGCACATACCATGAATCGATGCAAATACCATGCATCGATGCACATACCATGCATCGATGCACATACCATGCATCGATGGACTCAGGCTTTTTCAAAACATGGAATGCATTTTATGCATCGATGCACTCTTAGTGCACCGATGCACTGAGAGTCCAACAGTCAAAATATTTGAATTTTACACTGATGCACCGATGCACCTAGGGTATGCATCGATGCACTGACGCTCTCAACTGCTTTAATTAATTATTTTCACACTTAAACGACTCTATTGACTCCACTAATCATCCCCAACGTTCAGAATCATTTGAAGGTGTATTTAAACAAGCTTAGAAGCCATTGATCAATAACAAGAAACAATAAGCAACTAGAATCAAGGGAGAATCAAAGAGAAAGCATCAAACCTCAAGTTTGGGCATTTCAAGCCTATTTTTTATTCAATATTTATTTTGCTTTCAAGAACACTACTTGTACTCAATTGTATTCATTCTTGAGTATTCTTTTCTTTGTTCTAGAATTGTACAAACAGTCTACCTTGTGAGGATTTCCTTGTAAGTTTACAAATTTGTAATCTCCTCTTTGGGAGAGAGTGTTCTCAATAATTTGGGGTATAATTCTTGAGGGATTTGTAAGGTTACTCTTTGTCCTCAAAAGAAAGACAAATTAGTGGATTTGTGGAAAATCCTTAGTGTGGATAGCTAAGGTAGTGGACGTAGACTTTGGTTGAGAAAGTCGAACCACTCTAAATCACTGCGCAATTACTTTCAATTTTCTGCATAGTTTCCACCGAAATTTTTATTTGCCAATTCACCCCCTCTTGGCCATATTCGTCAATCGATTAACTCAATAATTGGTATCAGAGCCTCACTCATTTGAAGGTTTAATCGCCTCTTGAGTCGATTCGGGAAGAGTTACATCGATTGTCAAGTCATCAATGGCCTCTACTTCAAATATCGACTCCGGTCTCGATTCAATGCCCGTCAACAAGCCTCATTTCTTCAATGGAGCTAATTATGCCTATTGGAAGAATAGGATGATGTTTTTCATTCAAGCAAGTGACATGGGAGCATGGAATGTTGTAGAACACGGATATATCAAGCCTTTCACTCATCCAAGATTGTGGAGTGAAAGAGAGACAAGAATGTTCCAGCTCAACTCCAAAAGCAATCCATATCATATTTTATGCTCTTGGACCAGATGAATATGAAAGAGTTTCATCTTGTACAACCGCCAAAGAAATATGGGATAAACTACAAGTCACTAATGAATGCACCGACGAGGTAAAAGAATCTAAAATTAGTCTTCTAACACATAGCTATGAAAATTTCAGGATGAAACCAAATGAAGATATCAAAGTTATGACGGATAGATTCTCAACGATTGTCAATGGCCTCAAATCAGATAGAGAGATCATTCCAAATGAAAAGCTTGTGAGGAAGTTAGTTTACTCACTTCCAAAATCATGGCAATCCAAGAAGAGTGCAATCATCGAGGCTAAGAATTTAAAGTCCTTAACTCTTGAAGAGCTAATCGATTCCCTCCTCACTCATGAAATGATGCTTGAAGATGAGGTGGACCTCGATAAGATTGACGAGACACCAAAGGAGAATGAGAAGAAGAAAAACATTGGAGTTGCCCTCAAATCCACAAAAGATGAGAGTGATTCGGATGAAGATGACAATGACAATGACGAGGAAATGACATTGTTTGCCAAACGGTTCAGAAAAATGATGAGACCTTACCGAGGAAGAAAATTCAAACAAAATGAATGCCTCAAAAATAAACCAAAAGAGAAGGACCCTATCATTTGTTATGAATGCAAAAAGCCGAGGCATGTCAAATATGATTGCCCACAATTGAAGAGAAATGGTCATTCAAAAAATAAGCACAAGGCTCATGTGGCTACATGGAGTGATGAAGAGGGTTCTGATGAAGAAGAACAAGAAGTAGAAAACTTGTTCTTGATGGCATTTGAGGAAGATTCT